CTGGCATCACTGCCATAGCCCCACCTGCTTCACACCTTAGCATACAAGCAATAAAATGCTGTCATTTGTGACAGCTCCGAGACTGAGGTGTCGTAGGGAGAGTCCATAGATGGGAGGGAAGGAAACTGGTCAGGAGTGCAATTATGAGGGACTTGGGCACACAGAAATTTTCCCTCCCAATGTTTTCTGGTTTGAACATAGATCATCTCTCTGTTATAGCAACAAACAGGAGGAAGCCAGGAGGCTGGGAAAAGGCAGCCTGGGAAGCATGGCACAGTATCTGATGGCCAGTTTGTTGAGCTTATGAATAAGGAATACACTGGGCATGTGGTAGAGTCCCGAGTAACTGGGGGTGACTGAGTGGTGAATTCCTTCTACTGTGCGAGAGGTACCAGTAGCTGTCAACCTGCAGGCTGCTCAAAGCCCAGAGCCACCAGCTGGCACAGTCACCAACCTGACCCCTGAGAACAAATCAGCAGCCTCATACACTGATGAGGCAGAGAACATGTGCACCCCAGCAATGTCCACCTAAACTTCCATTACGACTCCAGCTCTGGTATGCACATGCACATACACGTACACATCTGAAGGCCTTTAAAGATACAGATCCTGCTTACCCTGTAATCTCAGTATTTTGGGAGGCTGAGGTAGGAGGATCACAAGTTCAAGTCTTGCCTGGGCAAGTTAATTGAGACTGCATCTTAAAAAAAAATTAAAAAGACTGGAGATGTAACTAGGTGCAGAGGCACTAGGTTCAATCCTCAGCCCAATAACAACAAAAACATCTCAAGTCTACCACCACTACTGAAATCCACACCTCTGAGCATGGGGACCTGCATCATGCTATTAAGTGTCCCAAATGATGCACATGTGCTGCGAAGGCTGAGAACTGCTCTCGCTGGCTACAGAGGAAGGGCAAGCTGTTCAGAACTGCTCCAGGCCTGATGCCCAGGAGTAGCAAAGGAGATGTGAGCAGGACATTGGAGGGCTGATGTGTTGCTTTTCCTGAAAGATCTGTCATATGTGTTCGTTGCTGAAAATTAGGGAAATCCAGAGAAGAACAGAGACCGCCTCACCTGGACACTGGGAACCTTTCCTAAAGCAAGGGGGAGGAAAATGCCTGCTAAGAGCCCTAAATGGCTGACAGCACCCCATTCTCACATGGAAGTGGGGAGCAGAGTGGATACCCCTAGGGCACCCTAGAGCCCACAGTATAGTGCCCACCAGGAGAGCACCCAGTTGTGTTCATTCCCTGAAGCAGTGGGTGCTGACCCAAGCTGTGTCCTGATGGTAGACCACACACCCCCTGTTGCGATGGGCAAGGCAGTGATGCCTCCTGGCAGGCTGGTCTTTGGTCCATCCCAGCACTCTAGGGTTTCCGCGGTGTCCTCAGGGTATCCTTCCTAAGTGTAATGAGACACTGCCCTGACTGCAGCCTGCAGCCAGATGTGGGAGCCCCTGGGCGCTCTGCTTGCTTCAAGGGAAGGACCAAGGTGGCTCCAGGCAGTGGGTCCTGGAGCTCTTGTGTCCCTGGCAGTGTTCTGCATCTGCTGGGGAGGGACCAAGAGGAATTCTTATCAGGGCGATATGAGAGCTGGAGCTGAGACATCTGGAAGTGGAGCCTGGAGTGGTGGGGTCCACCTGAAGCCACTCCCTCACCTGGGTCAATATTGACAGGGAGTGGTTGGGCCTTAGGAGGTAAGCGTGCATGGACACAGTACCTCTCGGGCCCTGAGAACCTGCTAGATCAGAGTGTCCAGGGTCACATGAGAGGTCAGTGACATGAGGGATTCAGCAATAGGATCGTGCTAGCCTGGCAAGCCCAGCTCAGAGACAGTCTGACTCAGGGTCTGGGGAGGGGAAGTGGGATGTCATGAGAGGGTGGTTGAGCAGGGAGAGGGGCAAGGGATTCCTTTCTCATTCTGAGGAAAGAGAGGAAGAGTTTGGCCACCTGACTTCCTCATTCTTGTAAGTGAACCCCGGTCTCAATGCCCTCTCTCTGAGCCATACTGTGATAGCCACAAGTCAGAGATTATCCAACCCAGAGGCAAAGGGCCAGGCCCCAGACTCACCTGCCATCTCAGACTTGGGACCAGCAGTTCTGCTCAAGCAATGTCTTCTCCATCCCAGGGACCCAGAGGATTTTGAGGGGAGTGGGAGTGGAGCAGCCCACTAAACAGTAGAGGCTAGACTGTGCTCGGTGGGGGATCCTGCCCAAAATGGGCTTTGGTGGGGTGTCACCCCCTGGCCTCTCCAAGGAGGGAATACCGGCTCAGAAAGAGCCCAAAAGTCATCTCTAAAGTCACTTGGCCAGTGAGCACTGGAGCAGGGACTGGAACCTGATTCTGGAGAAGACAAGGTAACTGCTGTAATTCACTGTGAGTCCTGCTTTGGGCTGGAGCCCTACAAAGGGTACAGACAGTTTTACACACACACACACACACACACTCACCACCGAGCCTGAGGAACATGTCACAAATACTAAGTAACTAGAGAGTACCATCACTGTTCTAGATACAGATTCGGCAGTGACCCTGCCCACAAAGAGCTCACATTCCACCTGTGCTCCAGAGCCTAAACAAGGGCCCAAAAGTTAGAATATGAGGAGACTGGGAAATGATTGGGGAGGGGGAGTGCCTGGGTGAAGGTGGGCGGTGCACCTGGATTGAGGCCTAGATGCCCACAGAAGAGGCGCAGCCACGGGAGGACTTGAGGAGAGGCCTCCTGGCAGGGAAACAGGCAAAGCTGAGACCAGAAGGAACTGGGTGTCTCCAAGGAAGACAACAAGAACACTGCGGTGGAGGAAGTGCGAGCAGACTGCGGCTTCGTTCTAGCTTTAGCCTGGAAGCCCCTCAGCAGAGGCCGATTAATTGACCAAGTGTCAGATTCGGAGGTGAGGGGCTTCACTCTAGCTGGTCAGAATCATAGAGATGGAACGGCGGGGAGGAGGATGGAGAGTTGTTACATAATGGGTGCAGAGTTTCAGTTTTGCACTCTTAAGCCTTCCAGAGCTGGGTGGTAGTGGTGATGCGTGTCCTTAATGCCAGAGTTGAATATGTAAAAATGTTTAGGATAGTAAATTTTAAGTGTAGTTATGCTTCCAAGTTTACAAGTTCCACATCTGTGTGTTCAGCTGACCTTGGATTGAAAAATATTTGGGTAGTAAAATTTGCCTGTACTAAACGTGTAGTTATTTTCTCTTTGCAGTACAGTATTACGACTGTTTACGTGGTATTCCCATTAGGTTAGATGTGAATAATCTATAGCTGGCTTAAAGTATCTGGGCGGATGAGTACAGGTTCTCTGCAAATAACTACTTCATTGCATATCAGGGACTCGAACATCCATGGCTTTGGGTGTATCCATGGGGATCTTTTACCAAAATTTTTTAAAATTTGGGGGAAGAAAAGCCCCTTTGCTGTAAAAGGATGAAACTTGAGCCAGGGAGGCCAAAAGAAAGAGGCGGACCCGGGCCACCCACTGGCAGCGATAGGCTCCTGGAGCAGGGCGGGAGTCAGGAGGACTGGTCCCGTGAGGAGCCAGCCCCTGTCTGGCCAGTGGCTGCCCTATGAGTGTGAGGGAAAGGAAACAAGCTCCCAGTTCCTTGCCCGTGTTCCCAGGCCTCAGCGAAGGCAGATCTAGAAGCCTGAGGTGGACACACCAGCAGAGATGCACCAGACAGTTGACTGGAGGAGTCTGAGGCTGGGGTGGGGCCTGGGAGTGGGAGCTGGAGTCAGGAGAAACACTAGCATGTCCATGGCGTCCACACCCTTGGGACTGGAACTGGGAGGAAACTAGAAATGAGACAGCAACTAAGCCTTGAGCTCTGTGCTGCTGACATTTAGGAGAAAGCTGGAGTGAGTGGGAAGGTGGTGACGAACCCAGTCCCTGCTGATGACCTAGGAAAGAGCCATTGCAGGGAATGTGGGAACAGAGACCTGTGGAGTGGCGAAGAGGGAGAAAGGAGTGAGCAAGGAGGAAGAAATGAGGGCCCGGGATTTCCTGGGCATGGGGACAAAAGAAGACAGATGATGATGTCTGCACAGGCAGAGCCAGACACACCACGGAGATCAGCACAGTGTCCCAGGGGGGGATCAGGTGGGCCCACTGTGACACAGGAACACACAGGGACTAAGTGCCCTGTGATGAAACCATCCCTTCACACACTGGGACCTACAAGCATGTCAGTTAAACACAGGCACGTACTGACTGCCTGCAGATCCTACCCACCCAGTTTCTGGAGTCGCCCACCCCAGTGACAGGGGCCTCTTTGCGGTGAAGACTTGGCACAGGGAAAGGGTTTGGGGCCAGTGGGCAAGTGGAAGCAGTGTGTTCTGGCCAGGAGTGCCTGTGATGCCTATGCTGGGCCTGAGGCCTGTGGCCTAAGGTAAGGGGAGGTTTTGACCCAGGGGTTTCTGTTTCCAGTACCTCCTGCACCCCACAACCAGCAGAGAGGAGGTCAGGGGTAGCCCGAGGCGTGAGAGAGGTGACTTTCCTACAAGGGCTGGACTGACCTCTCCCATGATGGGTATCGGGGCTCCCTGGGGAGGGCTCTGCTGGGCAGTGAGCCCAAATTGAGAGGTGGGGGTGGAGGGGGAGGGGGAAACACCTCGAGGGAGCCTGGCCACCTCTCCCCCATCTTCTGCAATACCTGGATCTCAGAGCCTGAGCCAGTGCACCCCCCACGCCCCTCCTCTTGCTTTCTCCTAAAGTTCTCCGTGGTGCTCCCAAGGAATCAGAGCTCAGGGGCCCAAGAGGCTCCCAGAGAAGGAAATCACAGTATACTACACATTCTACCGCTTAGCCCAACCAGGACTTCTATACACAGCCTTCTCAGACCACCAGTAGCCAGGAAATGAGCCTTACAAGCCTTGGGGAGAAGGCTGGCTTCTAGACAGCTCTGCCAATATTTGTTGACTGACTAGGGGATTGATTAAGTTTGACTGTCCAGCCCTCTGAGCACTAAGGGGTGGGGTGTGTCCTGCAGGGCGGGAACTGAGGTTGTGTTACATCAAGCACAGCCCTGCCCCTTGCCAAACCCAGCACTACCCAGAGGCAGGGCGAAGGCACAGGAGCAGTTTCCAGCAGGTAGGCCTGGGCGAGAGGGGGCTGGGAACCAAACCAGTGGGGAGGGGAGGGCTGCTCCAAAACCAGGGTGAGCAGCAGAGTCCCAGGCTCAGCCTCACAGAGCAGAGGCTGGCGGAACTGGGGGTCAGTGAGCAACCCCCGCAGGTGAGAGGACGGGTGGGGGTGGGGCACTTGTGGCGGCCGGCCCAAGAGGAAGAAAGTGGGAGGTTGTGTGACTGTCGCACTGAAGAGTCTGTGCGCCTGAGCCCCCTGCGCAACCCCTCTGTACTCCCTCTCCAGCAGGCAGCCCCCTCTCCAAGCTGGAAGCTGAGCGTAATAACATCAGGATCCGTCCTGAGCAGGTACCCAAGGAGGAAGTACGGCAGGGCTCACTGCGGGGAAAGAGAGGCACGGCGCGGGGGTGCCTGCGGTCAGGGAGGGCAAAGGGGGCCTTCAGAAGAAGGGGAGCAACCTGGCAGGGAGAGGGGAACCTAGGTGAGCCAGGCGGGAGGGAGGGGCTGGAGGAGGAGGAGCCTGCGAAAGGAGGGGCGCTGGGAGAGAAGGCACCAGGAGAGGAACTGAGGCTCTGGAAGCGAAAGAGGGCACTCGGAAGGGAGTGGGCCTCAGGGAAGGGAAGCGGCTTCCTGAGGGGGAGCGGACAAAAGGTGGGGTCCCCACTCGAGGTGGTTACACAAGGGAGTCCGCAGGGGCAAGAGGACACATCAGTGTGTGGTGCTGGGGAAGGCCCCCACCCCCCAGGAGAACAGAACAGCCTGGAGGAAAGGAGAGGGTGTTAGGGGAGACGGGGGACCCCGAAACTTTGAACATCCCCTTTCCCCCAGCTGCCCTCAACCGCAGTTGGAAACAGCGAACACAGTGACTTGGAGTCTGGCTCCCCAGGGGGAAAGGACATCAGATACCTTCCGGCATCCTAGTGGTTGTGCTGCCCCTCCCAGTGAAACTAGCCTAGTCCCAGCTTCTGGCCACCAGTTTGACTTTCCTATCCCCCATGGGACCCTGGCTTCCACTATCCCAAGGCTAGTCGGTGGTCTTCCTGTTCCTCTGTGGCTGCCCTACATGAGTTCCATCCCCCAGTTCCTGTCTGTTTAAATCTCTACTTGCTTCCTGCCTAGTTCCTGGTCGCTGCCACTGGTCACTGTTTCTGCCTGTCACTCAGGGTCCTGCTGTAGGATCACCATCACATGTCACTGCCCGCTCTTCATGGCATCAGGTTTTCTGTTGCTTTGGATCACTATTTCATGGCCATTGTGTCTGCCTGTCACACCAGTGAGCTAGTAATGGCTACAACCATCCCAGGTGCAAGCGCTCATGTCCGCTCAGTGGGTTGCAGGGTGACATGCTTCACTCATCCAGCAGCTCTCTACTAGTGCACAGCTGTAGTCTCAGCACTCTGGAAGGCTGAGGCAGAAGGACAGAAAGTCTGAGCCCAGCTTGTCTCAAAATTTAGAAAATACAAAAAAGGCTGGGGCATAGCTCAGTACTAGATTCAATCTCAGTACTGAGGAGGAGAAGGGAGGAGGGGAGAGAGAGAGAGAATGAGAATGAGAGATCCCTGCCTTGAGGAATCTTCTGCTCGGTGTGGGACACCAAAACCAGCAACATTCATAGTTTTCATGGGGTGCTGGGGGAGGTGGCTGTGTCCTGTGATGACCACCTGCAGCTCTAACCACCTGGCAGGGGGCTTCCCTCTGGCCACCCTCCTGCCACAGGCTTGCGTATGGCTGAGGTCTGACCATCCCCTTTCTCTGCCCACCGTGTACTGTGTGCTGTGAGTTCACCTCCAGGGCCAGGAGAAAGGAGCAGGAATATGAGCTACCGTGTGCCACTGTGGAGCTGTGCCTCTAGATCTGCAATGTGTCCCTCGTCTTGCAGTGTTTCCCCTAGCCATGGAGGGGCAGCCCAGGCAAGGGTTACTGCTGTTGATATGACAGGGTTGCAGTGCATCGGGAAGAGGAGAGGAGGAGTCACCACCACGCCAGGGCCACCTGAGTGAGAGACTCAGAAGGTGACTTCTGCACCCACTTAGCCAAGCAACAGCAAGAAGAGAAAGTTGCAGCTAGCAGGATTCAGGTTAGTTGTCGAAAGAACCTCACACACGTTCCTGAGTGATACAGGGAAGCCTCAAGTAGTTGAGCATGAGATGCTGAGATATAAGAAAATCAACAGAGATCTGTTTCCAACTGTGGTTGAGGGCAGCTGGGGGAAAGGGGATGTTCAAAGATTCAGGGTTCCCCGTCTCCCCTAACACCCTCTCCTTTCCTCCAGGCTGTTCTGTTCTCCTGGTGGGGGGGGCTTCCCCAGCACCACACACTGATGTCTCCTCTTGCTCCTGCGGACCCTTGTGTAACCACCTGAGAGTCCCTTCCTTCCCCAGAGATTGCTCATTCCGTGTTTCCCTCCCTCCCCTGCAGTCTCGGAACCACAGAGCACAAACCCAAGCCAAGTCTCTGTTTGCAAAGCTTGTAGCTATTTGCAGAGCCTTTATGTATAGAGTTCAGCTCTGTTTTAAGAACCTATCAAGGGCACTCGCTTATGCCTTCTTTGCCCAGCACTCATATCTGCTGAGCCTGTTGCTTGCTGTAAAGTTTGTCATGGTCTTCAGAGACAGTCCTTGTGTACAGAGTCTGTCCCAGGTTTATGGAATTTTGTGCCCAGAGCCTGTAGCTATTTTCAGCGTCTAGGTCTCTTTAAACAGTTTGTCCCTGTTTCTCTGTGTATAAAATTCTCTTGTTTTGTGGAAGCTGGCCTCATGCAGAGCTATCCCTGTCTACAGAGCTTGTCTGGTGTCTTGGCCTGGGACATCTCTTTCTGCCTAAAGACAGTTCACTGTTTGCCAAGTGGTTTTCTGTTTACAGTGCCTGTCCCTGTCAGCAGAACCTGTTTCCTTCACAATGAGTGTTTCTGTCTCCAGACTATGTCCCTGATGGCACAGCCTCTGCTCTCTTTGTCTGCAGCCTGTGTAGCACCTATGGCATTTTATATTGCCTTTGCCCATTTGTACAGCCTATTGAAATTTCCCTGGGTAGAAATTTCCCTGTGTCTGCTTGAAGGGTTTGTTCCATTGAAGAGTTTGTCATTGTCGGAGGGGCCTGTGTCTATTTGGGAGCACTGGGATCTGACTGTAGAGTGCATCCCCATTGACAGAGCCTTTGCCTGGCTGTATACTCTATTCCATTTGCATGTGCATCTGTTAGCAGAGACTGTCCTTATTTATGAAAGCCTTTACCTGTTTCCAAACTCCCTTTCTTCTACAGAGCCTGTCTTCATTTGCAGGACCTGCAGCTCTCCACAGAACCCCGCCCTACTTGCTCCACGCATGTCCGGATCAAGTATATTTACACACACAACTGACCTCTTTGCTGCTCATTCAGCAGATATTCTCCTTCTTTGGAGAAACTATCACAGTTACCAGAGCCTGTCCACTTGCAGAACCTATGTAGGCTTGCAAAATCTTTACCTCTCTGAAATAGACCTATGTGAATTTTCTGTCTCTAAGGACTGTGTCTTTTCACAGCCCAAATATGGAGATCACAGTTGTTTTCCTGGCCTGTTCCCATCTCCCTGTATGCAGGAGTTGAGTCTGTTTACAGAGGCTATCGTGCATACAGACCCTGCCCATGTCTACAGAGCCTTTGCTACTTCAACAGTGTGCTTCTGTCTTAGAATCCTTTCCCTGGCCAAAGATGTAGTGCCTGTTCCCACAGCTCATTTACATGTGTATCTGTCCATATCTGCAGAGTCTGCCTCTTATACAGGGTCCTGTCTTAAGGACTTGTCCCTATCCACATTTGCAAAGCCTTTCCAAGTCTGTAAATCTACATGCCTGCAGAACCTGTGACTGTTTGCAGAGCCTTCGGCAGTGTTCACCATCTTCGCTGCCTCCCCAGCTTGTCTGAATTTCCCTCAGTGGTGCTTGTGTCTGTTGGCATAGGCTGTCCTTGTACACACAGATGGTCTCTGTCGACAGAATTCATTTTCATCAAAAGAACCTGAGCTGGTGGCAACTGGGGAAGCTGTCCCTGTTTGCAAAGCCAAAGCCTGTTTGCAGAGCCTTTTTCTGTCGACATAGCCTGTCACACTCCGTGGGTTCTGTATTTGTTTACACAGCCTGATCCCAACTTTGTTGGGAAGACCTATGTCTATTTGCAGCTCTACCCTTGTGTGTAAAACCTGTCCTTGCAGGACTGAGTCCCATTTCAAGAGGCTGTCCTTGTTTGCAGAACCCGTCCCTGCATGCTGGATCTGTTCCTATTTGCAGAGCCTTTACTTGTCTGCATAGACTACCGCTGTTCACAGTAACTATCCTTGACTGCAAAGCCTGTATCTGTCTGCATAGCCTGTTCTAACTCCCAGTCTGTTTGCAGAGGTTGTTGCTGGCTTCCATGCATGCTTCTGTGCGGAGACATCAGCTCTGTCTTAAGAGCACACCTACAGAAAAACTAGGTCCCTAGTTGCAAACCTCTGTGTGCTGGTTGTCGGTACCTATCCTGGTTTGCTGACATCAACACATTTACAGAACCTTCCTAATGAAAGTCATGTTCTATGATTGTCTTAGTCACTTTCTTGTCATAGGGACACAATCAGTACCTGATACTCCTAACTTATAGGAGGACAGATTTATTTAGGCTCACAGTTTCAGAAGTTTCTGTCCATGGTTGTCAGGTTCAAATGCAGAAATGGCATGGTGGAAGGGCCTAATGCAAAGGAAAATCTGCTCACATCATGGTGGTCAGGAAGCAGAGAGAAGGGAGGAGCTGGGGAGGGAGATATACCCTCCTGGGTCATTCCTCCAGAAAGCATGACCAACCGTTAGCACACTCAGCTGTTGAACTCACCTGTGGACTAATCCACTGGTGAGTGTAGCCCCCCCCCCCACTGAGACACATCACCTTACAGACACATGACACTTTTATGGGACACCCTAAGTGTAAACTATAGATTTTAGACTTTAGAGAGCTGCGGGTGGGGAGAATTCATGTGAGGAAGCCAGAGTATAGGTGGCCATGGATTGGCTTCCAGCCCAAGGATTCTGGTTCTTGTTCTTTGTTTTCCCCCCTCATTCTTGCTTGGCCTAGGATGGACATTAAGAAAGACCTCCCAGCCATCGACAGCCATCGAGACCTCCACATATGGATCATTGAGGTGAGGAGCACAGTCAGATAGCCCAGCTGGTGACCTGTTGTGGGGTCTCTGAAACTTGGCTTCTCAAACCCCCAACTCAGTGCTCTCTCCTCCACGCTGTCCATGTGTGGGTCATGGCTACAGGGGATCTCTGAGTTGTTATTTGGTGCCTTCTTCTCCCAGAACCTGAAGATGGTGCCAGTACCTGAGAGGGCTTATGGGAACTTCTTTGAGGAGCACTGCTATATCATCCTCCATGTGAGTCACTTGGGGAGTCTGTCTGGGGGTGTGACACAGTCCAGTGCTGGACAGACCAGGATGCAGACATAAGCTGTGCCCTGGGGAGAGGCAAGCTGAGAGCCCTAGAATCCCATTCTACAAGTGGGCTTCTGCCTTGAGGCTGCTGAGCCCTGCTCTGCATGGCCTCCTGTCAGTGAAAGCCCCTGCCTCATGTGTCTTAAGTGACCCTCTGGACACCCTCTGTTCCCCTTCGCACATATACAAACAACTGGACCCTAGGTTCCCCACAGTCCAAAGACCACACAGGAAGTATCCAGCAACCTGCACTACTGGATTGGGAAGGAGGCAGGCGCAGAGGCCCAGGAAGCCACAGATGCCTTCATGCAGCTCTTGGAAGAGGCACTGGGTGACCGGATGGTGCAGCATCGAGAAGCACAGGGCCATGAGTCTGACTGTTTCCACAGCTACTTCCATCCTGGAGTCATGTGAGTGCAGGTGGGAAGGGAAGGGCAGAGGGGCAGAGTTCGTGCTTAGGAGAGGCCATCGTGGGCTGACTATCCTTCATTTGCTAAGTGTAGTGTGTGTGTGTGTGTGTGTGTGTGTGTGTGTGTGAGAGAGAGAGATTTGGTTGAGATACAACTATATACCATACAATCCACTCACTTTAAGTGTGCGGTGATTTTTAACAGGCTTGTGCAGCCATCACCACAATCACTTTTAGAAATTCTCATCACCCTAAAGAGAAGCCGCAAACCTCTTAGCAGTCATTCTCCATTTCCCTCCAGCACCCTTCTTACCCTTGTCCTATGCAACCACTAGTCTACTCTGCACCTATGCATGTGCCTATTCTTGAATGCCTGCTAAATGGAACCATACAGTGTGTGGTCTTTTATGGTTTTTCATTGAGGATACTATTTTCAAGGTTCATCTGTGCTGTAGAATATTTTATTAACTTACTTTTTTGTTGCCAAACAATATTCCATTGTATTAATATACCATATTTTATTTATCTATTCATCATTTAATGGGTATTTGGATTATTTCCACATTTTGGCTGTTACTGATAATGCTGCCATGGGCATTTGCATACAACTTTTTGTAGATAAGTTCTTTCATTTTCCTTGGATATGTACAGTAAGTCCCCAGCTTACAAACATGCGAGTCATGAACTTTCACAGATACAAATGGACGTGCATTACAAACATTCGTGGATGAGAACAAGTCTTGGAAGTAGCTGACAATCTGCTGGACACTGTCACAGTTGTGTTGCTGTGTGCTTACTGTACACAGTGCGATAGTGTACAGTAGTGCTGTGCTCAGTCAGAGCACAGGATGTCTGGAAGCAAGAGGAAAAGCGGTGGTCATGTGGAGGGAATTGCTAGGAAGCGCAAAGGTATATAAAGTATACCTTTGTATAATGTCCTGCCACTTTGTCTGTAATTTGGTGAACTCCCGATTGCTATGTTGTCCTTCTTTTACTCTTTAAAATTAAAAAAAGTATACCTTTGTATATTTATGTCAAAGGTATATCTGTATATTTATGTCACTTTGTCAGACTTACAAATGAATCCGACTTATGAACATTCTCCTGGAATGGAACTCGTTCATAACGTGGGGACTTACTGTACCTAGGAGTGGACACCAATGTTATGTTGAGCTTGCTTTTATATTTCTGTGCTGATAGAAATATGTCTTCCCTGTAAATTGCTTCAAATTTTAAAAAATTAATAATTGCAATATATTTAGGTTGAACATAGGCAATTGCTAATATTTGACCATTTCTGATTTGTATAGTTGGGCCTCAGATTTGCAAATAGTGTATTGTACACAGGAACACATGCACACAAGTATATGTGCACATACAGGAATACACACTACTCCTTACACATGTCTACCTGAAGATGGGCACACTTACATTACATACATGAATGTTCATGCCCAGCTACACACATATATGCTATCACCTGCTTCTATGCATTCATATCTAGATTCACATGGGTAAACCTATACACACTAAATGTGTACATATGTACATGTGTGTACTTGTGTACACATCTCTACCATGGATAAACAAATGTATATTCCCGCCTCACACGTGTACCTGTGTTCTTACACATACATGCATTCACATCTACTCAAATGCATGTATTTAACAGACATATGGTATCTTCCACGCATCTACATGCATGTGCTCATAACACACTCATTCCTGCACGTGGCAGTGTGTTTCTACATGGAACCCTGTTCCCTCCTCAGCTACAGGAAGGGAGGCCCAGAATCTGACCTCAAGCATGTGGAGACCAACATGTACAACATCCAGAGACTGCTGCACATCATAGGGAGGAAGCATGTGTCCGCTACCGAGGTGAGGGCCACCAGGGATGCCGCTGACCTGTGAACTGGGCCTGGGCTGAGTGCAGTGAAGTATGACAAAGTGTGGAAGTTGGTGGGCAGTGCTGAGCGCAGAGCTGTCAGCATTCCCAGGTGGCCTATCTTGGCTAAGGAGAAGAGAGAAGGCAGAGCCAGGCTTCTAGGTTCCCTGGACTTTGTTTCTGCCTCTGTCTCCCCAGCACATTAGCCAGTTGGGCAGGTGAGGCAGAAAAGACTTTGCACCTGACCCTTTTAAACAGGCAATGGGAGGTAGCATATCTGGGGAGGGGGTGCACTGTTCTCACACACATTGTCAGTGTCTCTTCCTGCCATCCTAGGGGCTTCTCTAGTCCATGATGTGCTCTTGTACAAATTAGCAGAGTGCCCCATACTTCCATCTGTCAGGAAATTAATGGAAGATACTGATCATGTTACAGCAAGTCATGCTGCTGTCATCTAGGCAGGATCTGGTGTACAGACCATTCAGGTGTTCAGTGTCTACAGTGTAAATGGTGAGCCCTCGATTATATATATTACAGTCCACACAGTATGTGGCGGCCTTGTGATACACATACAGTCCCACAGAAGCTCTGCACTGTCCCCCACAGATCCAGTGGTCATACATCTCTGGTCATGCAGGGACACCATGTGACCCAAGGTTTTGCCCATTATCCTGGCAGAGTGCCCCTGTTATCCTCACAAGTGTCACTGTTTGAATAACTACACTTATCCACAGGTACACACTGTTCCCACAGAGGCACACATATACTGTCACTATGAGCACACACACTTGTTCATATTTGATATGTGTATATGAATATGTACACACAGATAAGCAGATACATACACCCCACTATATGTACACATACGTGTATATAGGTCAGTTGCAGACCTGTGCTACCTCTAGTTGCTCACACTAAGATGCACACAACACAAAATAACCCTCAAAGCCACATGTGCTTACACAGACACATGCCTGCACACTGTGACAGGTGACTTCAGAGTCATACATACACCTTGTTACATAATAGCTTCATGCACACAAGCAACACACTCCAGCTGTGCTCCCCTCTGAGTACTACGGGCGTATACCTGCTTCTCTCTCTGTCCCTTCTTGGCTCTGGCAGGTGGAGTTATCCTGGAACAGTTTTAATAAGAGTGACATCTTCCTGCTGGACCTGGGCAAGGTGATGATCCAGTGGAATGGGCCCGAGACCAGCATTTCCGAGAAGTCACGGGTCAGTGTCTGCCCTAGGAACTGGGGGTACCTGGCTTGAGGGAAAGCATGGTCTTCCAGGTGCCCATTCTCTGGCCACCCCAAGAAGTGGGCTGGGCCATCTGCCACAACTCAAGCACCCACCAAGTTGAGTTCAGACCTTGCACTGCTGGTAGCCTCCTGGATGCTGGAATGAAGGAACATCAGCTTTCTCTGTCCCTCTTTTCCTTCCTCTGCAAGCTGAATAGTGAGAGAAAGGATCTGGGATAGGCTGTCTGAGGGGACGGGGCCTGCTTGGGAATCTTAATCGCAGGTTCTCTCCCACAGGGCCTGGCCTTGACCTGTAGCCTCCGGGACAGGGAGCGTGGTGGGCGCGCACAGATTGGTGTGGTGGATGATGAGGCTGAAGCCAGCGACCTCATGCAGATCATGGAAGCTGTGCTGGGCTGCCGAGGGGGCAGCCTGAGGACCACTGTGCCCAAAAAGAGTATCAACCAGCGACAGAAGGCCAATGTCCGACTCTACCAGTGAGCACAACTGGGGGAAGAAAGGCTGGGTGGGACAGTCTAGGACTAGCTTGTCTATCATTACTGCAATAATACAGCATCTCTAGAAAGCCCTCCACAAAAATCAGGTGGGCTTCTGGGATGGATCATGTGGGACCTTGGGCACAGCCTGTGTTCCTGCATGACCGTGATGTGTGGCAGCCTTCCTGAGGCCCACAGTACAGAAGGGGGACTAAGAGCCTACGGGGGTCAGGGAGCCACCTGAGGCTCCACAGCAAGGCAACGGATTAGATTTCTAACCCCATGCCTTCTGTCTCCGGAGATGCGGAAGTATTAAAAGGGGCTGGGGCAGAGCCCCAGCTCTTTAGTAGTGCTATGGTGAGGCTGTGGAACCCAGCCAGGGAGGGGCTGAGAAGCTGAAACCTGCATGCCTGTCTCCTAGTGTCTATGAGAGGGGCACGGACCTGGTAGTTCAGGAATTGGCGACCCACCCACTGACCCAGGACCTCCTGCAGGAGAAGGTGAGGAAGGCCTGCTGCTCACGCCCACCCATCCCCAACCCGACAACCTCAGGCCGTCCGAACCACCCACTGACCAGCCCACCGTTGCTCCTAGGACTGCTACATACTGGACCAGTGTGGCTTCAAGATCTACGTGTGGCGGGGAAGCAGGTCCGGCCTACAGGAGAAAAAGGCTGCCTTTAGCAGGGCTGTGGTGAGGCCCTGGGGCCCTGAGAGGGTCACCGCATTGTCCTGGGGGTGATTAGGGAAGGAGCCTGCCCAGGAATCTGGCAGAGTGGCCTGCCCTGAGCCCTACGAAAGGAAAGGGCCCCCTCCGCGCAGTTTGAGTTGAGGAACATGGACACCCTGGGATCTGAGGGGAGGGAGCTCTGGGGTCGGAAATGGATAATCCTGCCCTGGGACCCCCGACAGCAACAGCGGGAAGACCAGGAGGCACCTGAGACCCCGCATCTTAAGGGGGACGGTGGCCCCACCTTGAGTCTGGGGAACTTCCTGTAGGGCGCCCCTCCTTTTTGGAGGTGGCTTGCTGAGGGGTTATGATGGGGTTCGCAGGGACTGTCGTGGTCGGCTCTTCCCTGGGCTAGGACTAAGGGCCCTTAGAGAAGTCCCTAGTGCCAGCGTCGGCTTGTTAAATGGGTCATAAGCCTGGTTAATTAACACTTCTCTGAGCTTGGCTGGCTGAGCGGGAAGTCCCGGGGGACAGAGCGAAGCAGAGGGCCCGAGAGCCTCAGGTCTGACAAAAGCCCCCGTCCCAGGGCTTCATCAGGGCCAAGGGCTACCCGACCTACACTAGCGTGGAGGTGGTGAACGAAGGCGCCGAGTCTGTCGCGTTCAAGCAGCTCTTCCGTACGTGGTGCGGCGACCCGGGCTGCAAAAAGCCGGGCGGGCCGGGTGAGCACAAGAGACTGTGTGAGGTGGGCGGGCTTTGCCGAGGGGCGGAGCCTAATCGGAGCCGGGTTGGGTGAGCGAGCCGGTGAGGCAGTGCCTGGCTGGGACAGAATCTACGCGGGAGGAGCGAAGGGGCGGGGCTGGAGACCTGGAGACCGAGTCCCCGGGCGAAGGTGGCGGGG